GGAGAGAGAGGGAGAGAGAGGAGAGAAGAGAGAGAGAGAGAGAGAGAGAGAAGAGAGAGAGAGAGGAGAGAGAAGAGAGAGAGAGAGAGAAGAGAAGATGAGAGAGAGAGAGAGAGAGAGAGGAAAAAAAAAAAAAAAAAGTGCAAAGTGGGCTAAAATAAAAAACACTAGTGCCAACACCTTTGACAACAACAGTGCCAACAACAGTGCCGTCTACGGTGCCAACAGAACTAACCTCGAGCAAAAAAGAAAACAACCGAACCAGTGCGACGAAAAAAGCAAGAGGGCGGAAACGAAAAATGACAGGAAAGAAGCGACCAGGGGAAAGGGGAGAGGAGGAGGAGGGGAATAAGGGAGAAGAGGGGGGAGAGGCAGAGGAGGAGGAAGGGGAGAGAAGGGGGGGGGAGGGGAGGAGGAGGAGGAGGAGGAGGGGGGAAGGGAGGGAGGAAAGAGGGGGAAGGGAGAGGAGGAGGAGGGAATGGGAGAGGAGGAGGAGGAGAAGGGGAAGGGAGAGGAGGGAGGAGGAGAAGAAAGGGGAAGGAGGGAAGGGAGGAAAGGGAGAGGGAGGGAGGGAAGAGGGGAAGGGGGCGGAGGAGGAGAGGAGGAGGAGGAGGAGGGAGAAAGTGGAAAGGAAGGAGAGGAGGGGGAAGGGGAGAAGGAGGGGGAAGGGGAGAGGAGGGAGAGGAGGAGGAGGAGGAAGGGTGGAGGAGGAGGAGGAAAGGGAATGAAAGGAGAAGGGAAGAGGAGGAGGGGGGGAAGGGGAGAGGAGGAGGGAGGAGGAGACGGAGGAGGAGAGGAGGAAAGGGAATGAAAAGAGAAGGGGGAGGAAAGGAGGAAGGGGAGGAGAGGAGGGGGAAGGGGAGATAAATGAGGAGAGGAGGGTAAAGAGAGAAGTGGAGAAGAGAAAGAGGGAAAAGGAGGTAGGTGTGAGAGGAGGTTGAAGGGGGAGTGGAGAGAGGAAGAGAGGGAGCGAAAGGAAGAGAGGGTATAGGAGAGAGGTATAGGACAGGAGGGTAAGGGTGCGTCACCACCAGCGACAAAACACGGTGGGAACATTACGACTGGCAAATCGGGTAATTAATTGCTAAGTCGTTGACGAAGATCGTAGTAGACATGTTGGTATGGATTTGCCGGGCAAGACGTGAGCAGTCCTGGTGTGGACGAGGTGATGTCGTCAGGGACCTCCCACCAGCCAACATGGAGCGGACAGTTTCACCAAGTCGACTCTTATTGCCGACACGTCTCTCAACGTTGGAACAGATATGCCCTCATCAATGTCAGGAGATTTGTATCCCAGTGTCTGCTATTGTGTCCGCCCAAAATGTTTCCAAATTGTCTCCAAGCAATGCGTCACTGGTGTGGACACACCCTAAGAAAGTCAGGCTGGGCGAGGAAAGTCACATGACCTCACAAGAAGTTAAGACAAACGGAACGAAGAAAAGACAACCTCACATGCCCTAGTACATGCACACGCACACATGCGCATGTACATACACGCACACACACACACACACACACACACGCATACACAATTATCTTTCACCCTCTCACTCTCCTCTCTCTCTCTGTCTCTCTCTCTCTCTCTTCTCTCACCTCTCCCCAGGATGGAATCTCACCCCCGCAATCCCCCCCCTCTGCACTTGCGATGCCCACTGCTTCGACTCTGTTGCTGTGCCAACAATTGCGATAACAACAACGACAACAATGGAAATCTGGTGACGTGTATCTACAGAGAGAGAGAGAGAGAGTGTGAGAGAGAGAGAGAGAGAGAGAGAGAGAGAAGAGAGAGAGAGAGAGAGAGAGAGAGAGAGAGAGAGAGAGAGAGAGAGAGAGAGAGAGAGAGAGACGAGAAAAAAAAGCAGTAAAGAGAGAGAAAGAGAGAAAGAGAGAGAGAGAGAGAGAGAGAGAGAGAGAGAGAGAGAGAGGATGAGAAGAGAGAGAGAAAGAGAGAGAGAGAGAGAGAGAGAGAGAGAGAGATTTGATGAAATAAGGAAAAAAACAAGAGAGAGGTAATGAGGGAGGGAGAGAGTCAGACAGAGAAAGAACAATAGAGAGAAAGAGAGAAAGAGAGAAAGAGAAAGAGCACGAGGGAAAAGGGGAGAGGGGTAAAAATAAAAAATTACGAAAATACTTTTTTGAGCCTATTAATCTATGTACAGCGAATCAATTACCTATTATCAATAATTCTTTAATTATTATTTGTCACCTGTCTCTACATCTACAATTATCATAATCATCTTCCTATTATCATTATAATCCTTATCTTTAACCACATGTCGACAGGGATTGCATGTGCTTATATGACGACGGGGATGGCATGTGCGTATATGCGTATTATGCTGGGATGGCATGTACGTATTATGCTGACGGGGATGGCATGTGCGTATATGCCGCGGGGATGGCATTACGTATATTCTGACGGGGATGGCATATGCCACGGGGATGGCATGATATATTGACGGGGATGGCATGTGCGTATATGCTGACAGGGATGGCATGT